ATATATATATATATATATATATATATATAAAGGATACTACAAAATGCCTATAAGTGAAAATAAATAGTGATTTCTCCTACTCTTAATACCGTCCAAAGTTAGTCACACGATCACGATTATCCAGTAGTATTTTATTTTTATTTTACAAATCAGAATGACCAGAAATTTAGAGCACATGTTCATAAAAAATAGATGAATTTATGAAAAATATTTGACATGAAAAAGTTTGATCAAAATACCCCTGAAATGTTTCAGAGGTATGTTGTTCAATTTATTTTTTACGAAGTATTTTTTTTATATTTTTATTAGGTGTGTCTCACTAAGATGTACATATGCTCTAAATTTCAGATCATTCTGATTTTTAGAAAAAAAAAATGAAAAATAGAACACTACTAGACAATCGTGAACGTGCGATGAACTTTGGATGGTGATGAGGGTAGACGAAATCACTGTTTATTTTCACCTATAGGTGTTGGAAAGAATTTTATATATATATATATATATATTATGTTGGTGTATATAATGCAATAATTAGAATGGACCATTTTTCACATTTTTTGGGTTTTTGTGTTGTTGTTGAGTATATTCTTATAGATAAGGTATGTTTTCCTTCTTCTTCTTTTATAGCAGTAGTTTTAGGATCAAATGATATTCAAATAGAGGTTTGGAAGACATTGACATATCTTGGTTGATCATATTTTTTAACAAGCTAGATAAATGAAGAAAAAGTATTGTGGTACCTATTTACAAGAAAAAAGAAGACATACATAATTATACATACTATCGAGGTATCAACTTTGTGAGCCATACTACGAAGCTATGTGAGAGAATGATTGAACAACAACTATGACATGACATGAATGTATCAAAAAGTCAGTTTGGTGTCAAAGAGGTCAAGAATTGAGGCCATTATGCTATTATGGCGATTGATTGAGAATCCTAAGAAGAAGAGGGGACCTCCACATGGTCTTTATTGATTTAAAGAAAATATACAATACGGTATTTAGAGAGTTAATTGGGTGGGTGTTGAAAGAAAAGAGTAAATACATTGACATAGTAAGAGATATGTGTAAGGGGGCTCTAACCGGTGTTCAAACCAATGGTGGAGAGACAAGTGAGTTTTCAATAACAATAGGCCTACTTTAGGGGTCATCGTTGAGCCCAAATCTCTTTATTTTAGTTATGGACGAGTTAACTAGTCATTTATAGGGTGAGGTACTGTGCTGTATATTTTTTACGGATGATATAGCTTTGATTGATGAGACTAGAGACCGTGTCAACACAAAGTTAGAACTTTTGAGGGATACTCTAGAATCAAAAGGATTTAAAACTAGCCACGCTAAGATAGAATATGTAGAATACAAATTTAGTAATAATAGGAGTAAAAACGAGGAATTAGTTAATATTGTAGCCCAGAAGTATCTAAAAAAAATTATTTTCAGAATAAATACATCTAAGGGAACTTTGGAGTGGTTTCAATAGGTGTAAGATGAGGGAAAATAGAGTTAGGTGGTCTGGTCATATGCAGTATTGAGCTAGAATAACACGCGTTAGGAGTGGCTAATTGGTTCAAGTGAACGGCTCTAAAAGTACCAGAGAAAGGCTCAAAAAGGAAATGGATAGATTCAATGAGAAGATATATGGTGACTAATAGTTTGATTGAGGATATGGCCCTTGATAAAGGGGAACAGTAGAACAACATTCTTATAGTTGATCCCCAATAGTAGAGATAAGGCACAGATGATATGATGATGATGATAATAACAATAATCTTATACCTGAGTTATAGTTCTTATTATTGGTTAATGTAATTGTTGTGTTTAGTATTATTGTTGTTGTTTCATTGTAAGCTCCTAATAAAATCAATGTATGCTTTATGTTGTGACAGCAGAATAAGTCTTGATGTATTTATTAAAAATTTAAACAAAAATTTACAAGATTTACCTAAATTATGCTTGGTAAGGATATAAACTATCATTCTTTGACTTTAATATATTGTTACAATAAGTTATATCATTTTTGATAATTTGTATTTTTGACCCGGTTATCTGCCTTCAATTTTTGGAATAAAATCAATTTATCACTAATATTTTTATTTATTAATAACTTATAATTCCCTGACTTGATGACCATGGTGGTGTACAATGCATAATTAGCCACGGCCAACATGGTCCCTGGTGGCGTAGAATGCATAATTAGCCTCGGCCAACATGGTCCCTTGTAATCGACTAATAATCTCAACCTTTTTTTTTTGTTAAGGTGATTTTCTGTTTTCGTTAAAAATGAAAAACAATTGGGTGAGTAAACTGTTTTCGTTAAAAATGAAAAAGGTTGTAAATAAATGTTTTTATTTATTAATAAATTATAATTCCCTGACTTGATGACCATGGTGGTGTAAAATGATAATTAGCCACGGCCAACATGGTCCCTGGTGGTGTAGGATGCATAATTAGCCACGGCCAGCATGGTCCCTTGTAATGGATTAATAATCTCAACCTTTATTTTTTTTTTTGGGTGAGTAAACTGTTTTCGTTAAAAATGAAAAAAAATTTGGGTGAATAAACCGTTTCGTTAAAAATGAAAAAAGTCGTGGAGGTGAGAATGAAGTCAAAGACCTCAGCATGATGCACGTCAATACTACCACCAAAGCATTATGCCATTCTCAAAATAAAGCCTTTATCACGTTCATATTACCACTAAGCCTTTGGGTCAAGCGGATAATGATAATAAGGGTCAATGGTAGGTGTGGTTTCTATTAGGTTGCAACCTTAAACCATCTAAATAAGGTGCACCTTCTATTTTTATCATAATACATAATTTTGGTATAAAATATTTTTAGGATTATCTCAAAATCTATTTTCATATCGAATTATAAAATTTTAAACTCTAAAAATGGTTAATATCAAATAGATCTATAAACATATGAAAATCTTGAAATTAGACGGTCTAGATAATATGTTGCAAGATGCACTGTTTTAGGGACTCGAAATCTTTTTTTTTCATATTCATACATCGCGATGTTGAGATGATCAATTAGAGGGTTTTTCAATATTAAAACAATCTTTTTCGATGGATTTTTGAAGTGCATATCTAATTCTACATTTTAAGATTGCAACTTTATATAAACTTTTGCCTTTTGCTATTAAAGGAATGAAACTTAAAATTTAAGATCAAGAAAATTTAGGGGTTAAAAAGGCGTACGTTTTTTCAAGTCAACCAAAAGGAACGTAGATGAATAGGCGTGTGGCACGCAATTTTTTATCCCAAGCTTTCCTCTTTCGTTTTTTTTTATTTAATTAGGCAATTTATCAAAACAATAAGATGTTATATTGTGGCGTCCCGCCACCCTAATTACCCTAGCCTTCAACTCTTTTCTATTTTTCTAATTGTAAACTTTGAGGAAAAGTTTCAAATGATGGACAAACCACTTCAAAAAATCTGTCTGGAAGTTAAATCAATTAATTTATCGATAAATTAATTGCTGTTTAAAAATTATTTCACTTAGGCACAAATCTAGAACATATGCCAAATGATATATTTTATAACAAGATTTATTTTGATGGTAAAATGAAATCGTTTAAATTGATTTTTGACACCCTTGAGGCATTGGTGGAGAAAGGCGGATATGATTAATTGCCAACCAATAATGGATGGCTCATACTCTTAACGATAGAACAGGTGCATATAGCACAGCTGTGTATGTAAAGCCCATTCCCACTGGAGCATACTATACATTACAGTCTTGAGGCAAAAAAGAACTTAGGAGGATCTTCTCATTTGAAATTTTGGGATCAACCTACGAATCACTGGATGATTGTTTATAAAAGAATGAAAATGAATTCACTTCACTCCAATAATTGAACGGGCCTTATTCAATTTTGGGATGATATTTTTTTCAAGCATATAGAATGTGAGGTTTGTGATGTTTGACTTTCTTTTTTCCTTTTCTGAAGTTTCTCCCTACATTTAAAAACTCATCCCCAAAAATTTGGATTCCAAAAATACTTGAAACTTTTAGCTGATGTAATAAATCGACAAGAGTCCTCCCGTGGGACTGCATATCATTTGGCAACATACTGAAGCCTTAGTGGAAGGGTGTGGTTTGTGGAAAGCCGAGGCTCTAAGCAATCAAAATAAAGCTGTTATGAGAAATGTGGTTTAATACTTAAAATATATTTTTATATTTCATTATAAAATTTAAAGTTTCGTACGGATAAAAACTTGAAAAATTGATGATCTAAAAATGGTACACTATTTTAAAAAATTAAGATCTATTTTATTTTTTTCTATGTCGAAAATTTAAATTTTATGATCTAAAAATGGTACACTATTTTAAAAAATCAAAATCCATTTTATTTTTTTCTATGTCGAATGCGGAGATGATGAATTTGATGATACTTGAGCATCAAAACGACCACTACTAATGGAATTGGCTCTAATTTTGATTGTTTAAAGGCTCAGATCCGATCCATATAAAAGTCAGAGTGGCTTAGAGAAAGACGAGTCGTTCAACGCGGGCATTCCGCGGTGGGCACATGGCATGGCCAACCACTTCTCACAAGTTGACCCTCTCCCTCTCAAAATCCTACCTTCTTTCTTCTTCATCCCTCTCTCTCATTAGTTTAACTCGGTCCGAGTCCAAACCTTGGGCCGTTGTGGACATCCGTTACTCGGACTTGCTTGAGTCCGGAGCCCTCAGACCGAGTAGTCAAATACTGTTCTGAATCCCTTATTCTTTATCTCTCTCTATCTAAAAAACTCGTATAGTTGATCTCTATCACTTTCACAGAGTTGATCTCTCTCACTCAAAATCTCACAGTTCATCTGCCTCTCTCAAAATCTCTCTCTGTCTACATTTGCAGGAGCGAGGGAGAGAGAGCCTAACAAGTGCTCCTGGTGAAGGAAGAATTTTTTATGGTTTAGATTTGCAGGTGAAGGATGGGGATCTCAAAAGCTGTTTTCGTTCTGTCTCCATTACTACTGCAACTGCTACTTATTCATATCTCATCAACCCATGGGCAAGGCGAAAGAGTGAGAGTTAACATAGGTGTGGTCCTGGGTCTGGAGTCGAAGGTGGGAAAGGCAAGCAAAACGAGCATAAAAATGGCCCTCCACGACTTCTACGAGCACCACTCTAATTACACCACAAGTCTCTCCCTCTTTTGGCGAGACTCTGAACTGCATGTAGCCCAAGCAGGAAAACGAGGTACTTCATGCTTCTCTCTCTCTCTCTCTCTCTCTCTCTCAACACA